TAAAATGTTCAGAGAGTTGTCATGATTGAACTTAATTTTGTGAGCTTTTAATCCCAAAATCCTGAGATCAAAGCTCGCTTGAGGACAGTATTACATTTACATTTATTCACTGAGCAGACGCTTTTATTCAAAGCGACTTACTATTTGCGGAATACATGAAGCGATTAATCTTAAAGAGGCATATAGACACAGGAAGTGCTCGTAATTACTAGCATGATTGAAATGCTAATTTAAACTCTTAAAAACTCTTTCTTTAGGGCGAAGAGCTAAACACAGGGAGAATCGGCTTGACTTTGGTGGTGGCTGGAATGTTTGGCTCCATACTGTGTGGAATCTGGTTGGATCGTACTAAAACCTATAAGTATGTATATCTGGCAAACCGAATATTATTTTCCTCAGATATTTAGATTTTAATTAAATTTAAATGGCTTTAAAGTATTTAGCTCTGGCACTCATATTAGTATCGGATTTTGATTATTAGCTGCTAATCTTTTAATCATAATCTAAAATTTCTCTTTTTAAGATGTGGTCCCATTTTGGCAAAATATTGTGGACAAACAAGGTCCGTTTTTATTGTCAATAGTTCAGTGATGTATGAGGCACAGTTCACACACAAGTCTCTTTCAAACCACCCAGCTTTCGTTTGGTCAATTCTTTTGGTAAATTTGTGTGACCAACTAGAACTCTTTGCGAAATCCCCATGCTCATGAGAAATTCCAGATTATTATTGAAAGAACAATGATAAATGTGACCACACATTTACTAATTTTTAATAGGATTAACCTCCATCACTTAATTTTATGCATTTACTGTTTATATATCAGATCTGAGAAAAGCAGCATGTCAGAGTTTTTAATTTTTCCTCTCGTCCTTTAGATTGACTACATTGATTGTCTACGTCCTGTCCTTCATTGGAATGGTGGTGTTCACATTCACGCTGAACTTGGAAAATCTGCTTGTTATCTTTTTTACTGCTGGCGTCCTAGGGTAAGCCTGCTACTAGAGTTCAACTTGTGTACCTGTTACTATCATTTCTGAAATTAGTATCTAGATTCATAAGTCCAGACAGGTCACTGTTCCTTTGTTCTCTTACCACACACAGTTTGTATATACATACTCTTTTATATATATGTATTTGTTTGTATTTTATATAATTATACTATATTATCATATATTATTAACATATTGTGTTATATATTATACTTTTATATTACATACACTAAAAAAAATTATATTATATATATATTCAGAAAACGACTTAATACTAAAGAAATTAATACTTTTATTCAGCAAGGATAAATTCATTTGATCAAAAGTGACAGTAAAAACATTTATAATGTCACAAAAGCTATATTTAAGATACATTTAAAACAGTCTATTTCAAGTAAACTTTTTTGAACGTT